TATTTGATTTTTGGTGCACATTTTAATACTTGATTGCATGTAATATAATATTTATAACAAACTGTTTATTTTATGGATTTTGTTTTGTATTTAATATCTATCTTGTGTCTTGATATTCAATACCGTATGTTTCCTACCTATTGCACGTCTGGTATGAATGGCTAGAAATGCTTTTAAAAATTAAAAATAAAATGTCAAGAAGACATTCATTTCCTTAAATTATATTAATATGTTGGACATTATATTTTAGCCTTGCTTCCCCCTACGCTATGCATATACTTGGATGGAGTCGTGCATTAGCAGTTCGTAATATAAGTCTCATCATGGCTTTACTTGCCATATTAGGAATAAGTTCAGTATTGCTGCTTAAGCTCTTTTCAAATTGGTAAGTAAAACGCTTTAACAGTCAATGTTGTACTACATTTATTATTTTTGCTGCATCTGTTTGAAAAATATTATTTAACTTATTCATGCTTGAACATGTAGACAAATTAGTGTACATGGCATATTAGCAAAGGCCCTATGCAGAAAAAATATTATTTTTACTATAATGTGATTAAAACTGACCCACCCCACAACAATGTCATTATTTATGCTATTGATTATTATTATTATTATTATTATTATTATTATTATTATTATTATTATTATTACCATTATTATTATTATTATTATCATCATGATCATCATCATTAATAATATTATTATTATTACTGATATTATTATTATTATGATTATTATTATTATACTGTATATTATTAGTTGTTTTATAACATTGTTGAACTGAATTTCGTTCTTATTGTATTTGTGTACGTTGAAATTGGAAGAAACCTTGACTAGCGAAAGCTATTTGTTTCTTTAAAATCGCTACACTGTCGCTACAGCGTTTTTAGTGTAATCGTTACACTGCGTAGCACTCGCTGATTCAATCGGGAAGGCTCCCCGATTCGACCGACCAATCAGAATGCATTTGTTATTGCATTTGCTAGATGTAAGTAAAAACACCAAATACATCCAAACATTTATAACTTACTAATGTATTATGGTAAGCTTTCGATATTTTGAGAATAACCTAACCATTACCATTTTCTCGATTACCGGATTACGCGTTGGTGTATTCTATCTGCTCCGCCTGAGTAATATACAGTATCTCCTGATACTAACCTCACTTTGCATGCCACTGCTATTCCACATGCACTCACATATTTCTAATGGAGGCTCCTCACACTCACATATTTTACATTTTTTGGAGTGGAGCTGTAGCTTGATGGTTAGGATGCCTGCCTTTTAATCACATACTCATGGCTTCAAATTCTGAAACAGAACAGACTAAAAACATCCCCACTGCCTAAGCCTCGTAAAAAGATTTTGTCTACAAAGTTTAACAGGGCCCCTAAATATCAACTAAGCTGAAAGGGGCACTCACTATAGTGGTTAAAAAAAATTATCAAAAATATATATCAAATGTGTTTTTTTTAATATTTTATACATTGTACTTTAGCAGACGATAAAGATAATATAACAATGTTTTACTATTATACTATTACAAAAAAAAAACTGTCAAACTCTCATATTAAAGAAAGAGGGTTTTTAATTTGATTGAAGTACATATATGATGTTCAATTGGATTTTCCCTTCAGGTTTGGTGATAGATGCATATTCGTTGTTGGTATGCTAATATTGTCATCCGGGGTATGTTTCTTTATTCCATTTGGAAACCATCATCTACGTAGACCTGCAAATAGTAAGTTTAATTATGTTATTTTGAGTGCCTCAAATATCCAAGTAGAACAAACGTAACTTACATTATTGTTCCATATTGCGAGGTTAATCAGCTCGAACGATAAAATTCAATTATATATATATATATATGTCCTACCCAAAATCCACAAAGCAGGCCATCCTGGCAGACCCATTATTTCGGGCAACGGTACTGCTACAGAAAAAATCTCCCCTCGTACATTCAGGACTCCACGGACTTTATCCGCAAAATTAACCAAATTTCAAATTTACCTAATAATACTGTTCTGGCTACACTTGATGTTTCGTCATTATATATAATATACCTCATGAAGAAGGTGTTAATGCGTGCATTTCAAATTACAAGCAAATTCTGGGCAAAACCCCATCTAAATCACATCTCCGTGAACTTATCATGCTGATTCTGACCAATAATAACTTTGTTTTCGGCGACGGTCATTACCTTCAAATTCATGGCACAGCGATGGGCACCAAAATGGCTCCATCTTTTGCTAACTTATTTATGGGACAATTTGAGGCCAATTTCCTGTCCCTACGAGCCCAAGAAACCAGATGTTTGGTTTCGTTACATTGATGATATCTTCATGATCTGGACCCATGGTGAAGATAGTTTGGATACGTTCCTATTGAACATTAATTCGGCTCATCCCACAATCAAATTCACTGCTAACAAATCCACAAGC